CGGCGTGTCCCGAGCAGGTGACCGTGAGTGAGTCTTCCATTTATTTCGGAGGGAGCCTGCTCATGAGGTTGGGCCTCTCCCCCGCACCAGCTGGGATGGCGAGCCTGCGGGGGCTGATGGGGCACCTGCCTTCCGTGGGCAGCCGGGTGGCCAGACCGGACTGGACACTGACCCTCCACAGTGCTGGCTCAGCCGGGCCCCTTGCATGTCCTCTTCGCCCAGAAGGCCATCCGGAGCCTGTGTGTCAGGGTGCTGGACCTCGGGGCTCTGGGAGTAGCTGAAGGCGCAGAGCTCCTGGGTGGGCCTGTCTGGGGCTCTGAGAAGCAGAGGGCAGCCTGTGGGAACCTGCAGGGCCCCCGAGAGGGAGGGGTGCCACGGAGCCACAGGTGGTGTGGCTGGTGGAGGGGTGGTGGGAAGGATTGTCCCAAGGGCCTTGCAGGCAGAAGGAGCCTCTTGGGCACAGGACAGAGCCTCCCTGTACGTGAAGGACCCCACTGTGCACCACCGTCAGAGACTCCGGCCTGGGTCCCTGTCGGGGACACCTAAAGCTCCCATCTCTCCGTGTCAGCTGTGGGGCAGGATTGGGATGGCGCAGAGGTGGGCAGAGCACCAGGCACCCTGATGGCGCAGGGGTTAAAGTGCTGTGGGGGCAGTTCCACTCTGTCCTACAGATTGGCCCCCAGTGGGTGGGGAGGTGGGCGTGGCATGGGGGACAAGGCAGTGTGCTCACCGCCTGCTGCCCCGACCCCCTCACCCCACACAGGGTGTCCCCCCCAAGGGCATCGTCCAGGCCTTGGGCTCCCCGGCTGACCACACAAGGCAGGGCATCTCTGGGGCAGGCCTGATATCCCCCTGATATCCCCCCACCTCCAGGGGCTCTGGGTGCGAGGGTGGGGTTGGACACCCACCGTGGTGGCGTCAGGGTGTATGTGCCTCGGCAGTCTAAGTGGATGGTTGCCCACAGGAAGGCGCTGAGCAGCATGGCGTACACCTGTGGGGTGCGTGGGGACACACTAGCATGGGGGGGGTGCTCACCATCCCCCTGCGGGGCAAGGAGAACAGCCTGAGCTAGACACTGGGGGAGGGGGGCTCCCCATACCCTGGGAGACAAGGAGAGCCTACACTAGTATGTGGGGGCTCCCCATCCATCCTGGGAAGTGCACACCATGCCCCCTGGCAGCCCCCTCCCCAGGCCACCCTCCTGGGCCAGCGGTTTTCCCCCCTTCCCACAGTCTGTCCTGTGCTGTAGGGCAGGTACCGTGAGGGCGAGGCCAAGGCTGGCCAGCGTATCCCAGATGCTCAGGTGTGTCCCCAGAAGGTTCCGGACCCCCTGCAGGCAGTCCTGGGTAGAGGGGCCATGTGGTCAGCCTGACGAGTTGGTGCTGGGGTGATGGGGAGGGGGCAGTCCCAGGGAAACCCTCCAGGGACAGGCGCCCCCAGCCTAGCCGCCAGCCGGCTAGCCACCCCGAGGTGTCCACAGTGGGTCACGTGTCTGCTTGTCTGGTAGGCTGTGCCCAGCACCTGCCCGGAGTCTCCCACAGTAGCCCAGGCAGGAGAGTGGCAGCCATGGACAGGGTGGCGTGGACAGCAGGCCAGCAGGGTCCAGTCCCGAGTTCCTCTGGGCAGCCATGCTGCCTGGCCCAGCATCCACATGGCTGTGTCTGACCCACACACAGGTGGACGTAGGCCTCAGGGAGCAGGACGGGCGGACACCAGCCAGGAGAAGGGAGAAGCGGCCCGGCTCTGAGTGCCGCACACCCCTCGCCTACCCAGCGGGCCGGCTGCCTCTGCCCTAGCCCGAGCCCTGGCCCGCGCCGGGCACCCGGGCCTGCGGCTGCCTGGAGCAGTGCCAAGATCTCAGGCTTGCCCAAGATGGGCACTGTGATGCTCCCCGCCCCGGGCTTTGGGGAACTGAAGGGCAGTAGAGGGGGAGGGAGGGCCCAGCCACACAGCCTTAGGAAGAAGAGGTCTCCACCTTGGCTCCACCATGAGCACCCCTCGGGCCCCCCTTGGAATGCCTTTCGGGGACCTTCTGCAGCCGGGGGGAGGAGAGGGCAGATTGGTGACTCTACGTCCATGGCAGCACCCCTGCCCCTCCCCCAGGCAGCACTGACAGCCTCGCTCTGTGGGGCGTGGGTTCAATCACACCCCTTCTGTCTCCCTCCTGCTCCGAGAACTTCTAGAAGCTTGGGGGGGTGGGTAGGGGGGGCCCCGCGAGGGTCTTTGTGCCTGGCTGCCTCAGGAGTGAGCCAGTGGAGGGCAGAGGTGGGGATGGGGGTGGACCCTGAGGTCAGGGTCAAGTTCTGACCTAGCCCAAGCCCTGGGGGTTCACTCACAGTAACCTGTGGGCAGAGAGGGGACAGGCGTCCCTGGGTGGTGGTGCCCAGGGTGCCCTGCTGTGGTAGCCTCACCTCTCTGAGGGCCAGCTCCCCTGCACACAGCCCCGCCTCCATGCTGCCCTGCCGGCCCAGGGGAGACGGCTTCCCGCAGCACCGGAGCTGCAAGACACGGGCGGTGGGGAAACTGAGGCCCGGGAACCAGAGCCGGCTCAGAGGAGGCTGCTGGGCAGAGAGGCCGTGTCCCAAACCAGCCCCTGCCTCCCTCCTACAGGGTGCCAGTCACAGAGTAAATAATTAGTTACCGTTGAGTCTGTGGGTCTCTGTGTGTGTCTTGTGTGTGCCTGTCTGTGTCCGTGTGTGCGTCTGTGTGTCTGTCTCTGTGTGTGTCTTGTGTGTCCCTGTCTGTGTCCATGTCCGTGTCTGTGTGTGTCTTGTGTGTGTGCGTCTCTGTGTTTGGGCGTGTCCCTGTGTAGGTAGCACCGTCTCCGGCAGGCTTTCCAAGGTCATGAACTTTCGGAAGCTCTTTGCCAGGCCTGTGGAGGGTTTGAGCTGCCAACCTTCCTAAGAGGCTGCTCCCACAGGGAGGGGGGGGTGTCGGGGGGCCCTGACTGCCCACCACCCTCCAGCTTGCTGCCCCAGGACAAGACCAGCTCCTGCCTTCACTGTCCGGCCTCCACTGGCCACCGGGTCCCTCTTGCACTGGGCCTCACGAAGCCTGTGCTGAGAGGTCTCGGGCAGCAGAATGAGAGCAGGGCCGTTCAGTCCCGTCCGCAGAGGGGACTGCCCCATGACCAGCCTCAGGCCAGGCGTCATAGCACACCGGCGGCTGGCTGCCCAGACATCCCCTCCCTGTCCCTCACCGTGTCCTGGACGGCTCCCAGCTCCCGCCGCCGCCGGGTGTTGGCCGGGCCCTGCAGCGCCTGCTCGTACAGCAAGTCGTAGGTGTCCAGCAGCGCATCCTCCACCTGGCCAGTGGGCGTGGCTGAGCACCTGCCTGCCCTCCCCACCCCCCACCTCTGGCCAGCCCGGCCCCAGCTCTGCCCTGGGAACCCAGTGGGGGCGGGGGCTCCCTGGAGCTGCACCTTGTGCTCACCCTGCCTGCTCCCTGCACACTGCCATGCCCACTGCCCTGTCCAGGGAGCCCCCCGCCCCCACCTGGAATGCATGCACCCACCCTCCGGTCTCCGCGTCCCCCCACCTCATGCCCACACAGCAGGCCCCACAGGAGGGCCTCCCTGTCCAAGTCTCAGAGCCCCCGCTCTGGGCGGGGGGGAGGGAGGGGGCCGCACCTGGGTGGGGTTGCGCCATCTCCAGAAGACCACCTGCACCAGGACGCAGAATGCCAGTGCAAAGCACAGGAAGCCCTGGGGACACATGGGGGTGGCGCGGGGGACACACATACGATTCAGGCCCAAGTGCCAGTCCCTGGCCACTGGGCAGGGGTGCGGCCTCGGGGCTGGCGGTAGGCACTGTGGCCTGAATCGAGCTCACACACACCGAGCTGCCCTTGTCTGGGGAAGAGAACCTGTCGTGGGGGCCTTAGGTCGTG